TACAGGCATGAACTACCGTGCCCGGCCAGAATCTATATATGTTTTTATTTATATTTTCCTTTCCTGAAAGGGGAAAGTTAGTCCCTGAATTAGCAAAAACAAAATTCCTCATCTAGTCTTCAATAATACCCAAAGAAGTATGTAATTTGAGGTCTGCTGGGCTGTGCTGGAAGGAGGTCGAGAGACATTATTGATGAGTTTAGCATGTCTGCAGAGTGGACGTGAAGGACCACCGCACTGCATCACCGTCGCTTCATAGAGGTTTTAGAGAATGCTCACTTGTGAAAGTAGTTTTAGAATGCATGAATCAGCACCCTTTGAATTGACTGGAGTAGTCAAGAAAAGTTTTGGTTTTGAAGTGATCATTGTGTGGGATCATGTTACTGTTTTGCTGGAATTGATGAGTGTGGCTGGAAGAAACCTGGTGTTTTTGCCCCATTTTCTTTCCCAGCCTCCTGTACTTCCCTCTTCCCCCATCAGCCCCCGCCCCCATGCTGTCTAGGTGACCTTCCGACAACAAGCCACAGGCCTCCTCTTCCCATCTGCCACTGCCCCGGCCTTCCACCAAGTCCCTCTCTGCTCTGACATTCACCCGGTCCCTGCCTACCTCCTTTGAGAAGCCTTCCCTAAGGCTAACATCTCCTCCTGGGTGTCACCTTGGACCCTCCATACTTTTACTGGCGTGTTCACTCGCTTCCCCACTTAATTTGCTCATCTGAGCACTAACATTTATTGAACATTTCAAGTCCTAGGCTGACATCTAACAGCCCAACCACCCTGATTTTTATTCTCATTTTACATAAGAGGGAAATGGAGGCTCAGAGAGGTTAAGTGTGTTGCCTAAGGTCACACAGCTTATAATTGGCACAGCAGAGGTAGAAGCTCAGGAAGTTTTTTGTCACTTAGAACAACTTCTACTTAAGTATTTTACACATCTGCATTCCTGATGCCTGGCAAAGTGCCAGGAACATAGTAGGTGCTCAATAAATAGTTGTTGAAGATGAACTCTTAAGCAGTAAACTTTATCACAAATCATTTCTGTACATTTGTTTGTAAAATGTAGCCTCCCTTGGCCTTCTGCAGGTTGAGGTTCTGAGTTACTTCTCTTCCTTGACCCTCCTATGGCTGGGGGTGACTTACCACTTCTTTTGTGATTATACTGTTAGTTTGCGGCTTAAAAGGTGAGCATGTTTGCTTAAAATTCTGTGCATGACGTATACTTACGTGCACTGAGAAAAGGCTGTCACTTATGATTTTCTTTGCATGAGATTAATGGAGGTGGTTTTTATTTTCCACTTTGAACTTTTCTGTATTGTTCCCATGAATTTTTATTGCTTTTGTAATTGCCAAGCCATGTTACTTTCAAGGAGAAGAGTAAACTATTTTTTTCAGAGTGCATGAAAAGGAAAACCTTAAATTTTTTTCCCCTGTGGATTAAGCTAAGCCTGCGACACATGTAAAAAGGCACGGGAGACATACTTTGGCTGCAGAACATGCATTGCAGCTCTGTCCCTGCCCTACTACTGAAACTGTTTACTCCCAGGTCATTTTCTTATTCCAGTGTGTCACAGGCACATAACAAAGGAAGACAGGTGTGCATGACACTTGAGTGAGAGGTGGTCTTCTAGGGGAGATGGTTATTCCGAGGAGTGTACCTGTAGTTCAGAAGTTCAAGGTTGTCCAGGTGAGTGGGATGCTTTGGTTTTGGAGGTAGAGTAATGCATTGGTATGAACTGAGGCTCTAGGCACCATATGAGAATAGTAACTCCAAAGTCACACAAATAAACCCCAAAGTGTGAGTTTGAGGTCAGGCCCAGAGCCTTTGGCAGGTGACCGGGGACCAGGGACAGGGAACAGCTGCTTTTCTCAGGATTATAGGTAATTTAGCCAGGACTGCAGGGGCTAAGAGACTGTCTGGTGGTTTGATTCTCTCGACTTAAAAAATGGCATGCTTCACTGTTAGGAAAGAAAATTCTGAGGGAGGCAGAGATGGTTTTCTCTTCCGTCTGTGTCATGCCGTTTGTGGCCGCACCCGCCTGTTCACCTGGAGGAGCTAGCAGGAGGGGCATTGTCCTAGCTCCGTTCCTTGCTTTCCCTGGCATAATTTTGGGCCAGGAAGATTCATCGGTTCTAAAAATTGAGGAGAAAGAATGAGAAAAGTCTGTCTTCAAGGTAGAAAATCCCAGTGATCTGTCAAAACCCGTTTCCTGAAAACTGCTTGGAAGTCTACCGTGTGAACTGGCGTGGCAAAGAGCGTGTAGGAAACGCTTTCTGGCCCACCCCCGGAAGCATGCTACTTGATGGGGTGCTATTCCCGTGGCTGGTTTTGTGCTGCTATCCTGCTAGGCACTGTGCTCAGCGTGTTGCAGAGATTTTTACTCGACCCTTCGGTGAGGAAGGTATTCATTTGACAGGTGAGGAAGTTATTCATTTGACAGGAGAGGAAGCTGAGGCTTTGACTATATGGTATTATGCCCAATGTCACACAGCTAATAAGCGAAATCAGGTTTTCCCAGAGTCCACGTTCTTCTCGGAGGCACAGTTTGGGGCCTTCTTGTGGTACAGGTGTCCCTGAGTATGCCAGATGAGGGTAACAAGAGATACCCAAGATCAGGGTCAGACCCAATCTTTACTGAACATTTTATTGCTTTGTTCATTGTGGATTTTTTTTTTTTTTTTTTTTTTTTGTTTTTTTTTTTTTTTTTTTTTTTTTTTTTTTTTTTTTTTGGGACAGAGTCTTGCTCTTGTTGCCCAGGCTGGAGTGCAATGGTGCGATCTCAGCTCACCTTAACCTCCACCTCCAGGTTCAAGCGATTCTCCTGTCTCAGCCTCCTGAGTAGCTGGGATTACAGGCATGCGCCACCATGCCTGGCAAATTTTGTATTTTTAGTAGAAATGGGGTTTCTCCATGTTGGTCAGGCTGGTCTGGAACTCCAGACCTCAGGTGATCCGCCCGCCTCGGCCTCCCAAAGTGCTGGGACTACAGGCATCAGTCACCGTGCCTGGCCTACCTATGATTTTAAAAAATATTCATTACACATGACTATCTTAAAATTATGGAGTGTCTGGCACCCCCTTTAAATTTTGCACCCAAGGTGAGTGCCTCACTGGTCTCACCCTAGTGCTAAGTAGTGAGCAGCTGTGGAGTGGGAGGATGAAAATCCAGTCAATCACCAGACAATTTCATCATCATTTTCGGCATTGTAGTGCGATGTAGTTTTCCTTCAAGACTTTTTTTTTTTTTTTTTCGGTATATAAACTATTTATTAACAGACAAGTCCTACAGACTTATTTCTTCTTGGATACACCCATGGTGCGGCCACGGTGGCCAGTGGTCTTTGTGTGCTGGCCGCGGACACAAAGGCCCCAGAAGTGGTGAAGCCCTCTATGGGCGCGAATCTTCTTCAGTCGCTCCAGGTCTTCACGGAGCTCGTTGTCCAGACCATTGGCTAGGACCTGGCTATATTTTCCATCCTTTCCATCCTTCTGTCTGTTTAAGAACCAGTCTGGGATCTTATATTGGCGTGGATTCTGCATAATGGTGATCACACGTTCCACCTCATCCTCAGTGAGTTCTGCTGCCCTCTTGGTGAGGTCAGTGTCTGCTTTCCTTAACACCACATGAGCATATTTTCGGCCCACACGCTTAGTGGCAGTGATGGCAAAGGCTGTTTTCCGCCACCCATCGATGTTGATGTTGAGTACTTGCAAAATATGCTGGAACTTTTCAGGGATCACTAGAGATGTGGCAGCAGCACAAGCGGCGGCGTGTAAGCCTCCTGTGGAAGCCCTTCAAGACATTTTTGGAGGTGAGTCATGGTCTTAAAGATGTACTTTAGCATCACCTTTGAATATACTGATCTGTCTGATACACAGTTGTTGGTACCAGAGGCTGCTTGCAGCATTTCACCTTTGAGAAACCAAAGCCCAGGTCCAGTGAAAGCCTGGGACCATCACTGTGCCAGGAAACCGTTCGTTTGGAGCTTGGTAATGGCGGTGAGGGAAGAAGGAGTTCTATTTTTAAATTGAAGTCACTTCATCAAGGAGCTGAGAAGTTAAGCCTCCTGTGAGTGCATATGCAGCACTCTGGCAGGTGTGTGCTGTAGGCGTGATGGTGGGGCCTCAGCCCCTGCCTGGCGCTGGGCAGTGGCTGTCCCCTTTCTCTGCATTGCTCTAGGATGACTTGTGTAGACCAGCTGTCCACAGATTGTAAAGATAGCCCAATGTATTTCACGTAGCAATGGGCTGTGTTTCACTGAGGCTTTAAAAAATTTTTTTTAAATAATCTCGTTTCTTCAAAAGCTTTTTTTTCTTTTTGTTAATTTCGAAAATAAATAGGGTCATTGTAGAAACATTGAAAGTCAAGAAAAGTAGTCAGAATACATACACGCAGACACCTGTTGTTAACGACTACCGCTCCGGCACACACAGATTGCTTTTGTCATGTTTGCCGTATTTTTTTAAGAAAAAATTTTGAGTCTTGCTCTGTAGCCTAGGCTGGAGTGCAGTGGTGTAATCTTGGCTTATTGCAACCTCCACCTCCTGAGTTCAAGCGATCCTCCTGCCGCAGCCTCCTGAGTAGCTGGGATTATAGGTGCATACCACCACACCTGACTAATTGTTTTTTTTTTT